TATTCATGCTCGTGTGGATAAAGGAGTGCGAACTTACGTTCAGTCCCCTAGGAATGGACCTGAATGGGACCATGTTGTGACACGGCCGACTATGAACCTGGACGACAACGAGATCATCCAGGACATCAAGATCCAAGACCAGCCGACTGGGTACAACTACAACGCACCAGTACCTGATGGGGTCACTAACATCCGTGCTCGACTGTACTGGGAGCAGCCGGAACCAACCCTTTTGGGAGACGGCAGCCCACGACCACGCTCAAGGCAAGTAGCGATCATCGATGACGATCGTCTTCCTCCCCCTTCGATTGAGCGCGGCCGCGTGCTACCCTCTATTCCAGAATGTCCGACACTTCGTTTGCCAGAAACAGAACAACAGACAGCACTACCAACAGATGCCAGAGTTAAGCAAAAAGAGAAACAAAAGGCGGACAAAGAAGCTGGCATCAAACCACCCAGGGTACCCAAAATAGTCGAAGAAGGCAACGACGACTGTGGAGACGACCTCAAAGGACTCGGGTGTAGCTCGTACTACACCGATGTACCTTTGGACTCCGACACGGACAGCAACTGTGAATAAGAGACCTTCATCGCCCTACCTGCGGGGCAACCTGCTGAATCCTATTCAGATGTATTCTCCATAATCCCCACCCTGTGTTATGGACGACACAACAAGGTAGATATGTTAGAACTACGTGGAGGAATCGGAGGCATCTCCCAGTTCGCCTTCAGCCGAGGTATGTCTTCAGGGGGAAACCTCGACAAACGTACCTTCGTTGATCTTGGAAATAAGGATGTCCAAGATGCTGTGATGCACGATTTAGACGCTTGCTTCGTTAAGGTTGTCATGCTACAACCCAGCTGCCGAACGACTGGCTTGGCTTCCCACTTCAATGCCAGGGTTAACTACGACACCTGGCATGAACATCAGAAGGAGGATTTACCACACATCAAGCTCTGTGGGAAGGTAGCAGTGCGTCAAAATTATCCTCGACAGAGAACAACCAGTTGGGACTTGGGTGGATCAGATACCGCCATGGAGGGTATGCAGTGACGCGATCACACAGGCCACGGCAGTATCTAAGACCAATCGTGCACTACGCCCCAAGACGACCATTACAGGTCAACATTATTTTGACGAAAGAGCTTTGGTTGACTACCATCGCCCTACGACTACTCAAGATGACCGGGGAGGTTGTAATGGCCCGTTCCCAGTGATGACGAATGATCCTGAACGGGGTCAGGTCATCATCCGAGTAGGCAACCGAGATGTTCAAGTACATTACGGCGATGCAAGACATTCGCTCTACATTGAAGCACTCATAGCCCGAGAGATTGGCTCCGACGACACTGCACTACGCACAGTGTTGACATTCGTCGCTAGCCTTTCAGCGGGGAGACCTGCGTTGACATTTGGTTATGTGCCGACCAAGAAGGGTACGCTTCAGATGACAATGGCAAGTCGCCGATCTCCAAAGGTACTCTTGGCCCTACAATATCCCATCAGAAACTTCCTCCGTATCGAGAATGTTGTTCCGGTCAGATTAGCCAAGAGCATTCATAAGGTACCCTCGGTTACTTGTGCTGACAGTTGCACATTAGTCCAATACGATAACGATGTGAATCCAGGATTCCACTACTACGTAGCAGAAGGTACTGCTCTGAACATACATGATATAACTGGATCAGCACACTCACGAATCATCCAATGCCTGAAGTCCATCAAACCTCAGGCAGGCTTCGATCAGGATATGTCCAAGTTCGAGGACTTGGCTGATGCGCCGCCACCTGAGGGAGCCGCTAGAGAGGCTTCAGAAGCCGAACCAGAACATGATGACGGACGGCTGTCTACGATCTACGAAGAACCAGAAGCTGATCTAGAGTTACATGTTATGGAGGAATGGTACGCGAAGTTGCGAGAGGAAAGGGATTTGCTGGAGGCAACTCTACTAGAAGAACTCTTGTACCCACACAGATGGTTCCTGACCAGAGTGCGTTGATCACCGTAGCTGATGAACAGCGGGGACACCTGCCGAAGTGGGGGCACACTCATGATCCTGATACTGAGGAAACGTACTTCGCTCCCTTGTGCACCCTGGTCGAAGACGACAGTTATGGAGTCGACTCCGACGAAAACGGTCCATACGTTGAACTCTGCTTTACAACAGAGATGTCAGAGGTCGCTTTGTCCGAGCAGCAACAAATGCTGTTAGACGTCGACCGGGTGACCACCATGCGAGTATATGATGCCGCCGTTGCAAAGCGAGCTGTGCTCGTCAAGGAAGACGACCTCCTCACGAAGGCTGACATCCAGGCGAATCCCGAGAAAATGCCGAAGGCCCTTTTCACCGAACTCAAGACATGGTTCGGCAATAAATGCTTCAAAATGCAGGAGATCGCCAAAGCGTCGAACATCATGACTTCGAGCTATGTGCACAAATGGGAATTCGCACCATCCGACTTCGCCTGGCACTTCGAGGCTCCATGGACCTTGAAGCTTTCGATGTAGAGACATTTCCGGGAGAAGCCAGAAGGTCAAGACAGAGGCTACTTGCCAGCACGGCAGCGTGCAAGAAACAGTGGGCCATTGCTTCCCTGGACATCAGCGTGACCTTCCTGAAGGGGTTGACCTATCGAGAACTCGCCGAGGCAAGTGGTGAAAAGGAAAGTGCGGTGTGTTTTACCTTGCCACCTGTGTCGGCAACTGCGCTCCGTGCTCTTCCAGGGTTCGAGAGCCACGACGAGTCAAAGCACTGCCTGCAGTGCTTGAAACTGGGCACAGGCACTAAGGACGCCCCACGGGCTTTCTCACTTAAGCTAAGGAGAACTACCAGAGGATTTGGCCTCCGACCTACGTCTTATGACGAAGAGATCGAGACGAGCACTAACTTGATCACGGCCAAACATGTTGATGACATTAACATGGCCGGTACTGGGGACACCATTGGCAAGCATGTCATGTCAAACGTTGAGGATATCTTTGGCAAGTGTAAACTCAACAAGCTCACATGTACGAACTGTGCTGTGAGGTACACCAAGGATGAGGACGGCAATGTCACTCTGGATCAAGATGAATACATTAAACAGCTCCGTCCTATACAACATCCTGAATTGACCGGCGCGGACGCTGACGCTCAAGCGACCAAGATGGTGGCAGATATGTTCGTCAGCCGCAGAGGTGCGTTGGCATACGCATTGATCACCCAGGTCTGGTTGATGGTCTATGTTGTATTCCTCCAGCGCGTCCAAGAACCTACCAATATTCAAGTGCGACGATTAAACGTGATCAACAGAAAGTTGCAGGCCTGCCCGAAGAAGATCGTCTGCCAGGCGATGAACCCCACGGGCGAGGTCGACTTACATAGCGACTCAGGCTATCGACGCCTGAGTGGAGACGCCGATGACGACGTCAAAGGCTATGGCATACGCGGGGCAAACCTGCTACGACGTGGAAACACGTCATCTGGCAAGCCTGTCGTTCACTTGATTGATGCGCACTGCAAGTCTCGCCGCTTGCAAGTCCGCTCAAGCTATTAAGCAGAGACACTTGCAGCAGCCCATACTTTGGAGGACTGTTATCTCACGATTGTGACTCTGCACGAGCTCCATGCGGGGCCACTCACACCCACTCAGTTGAAAAGCACACTTGGGTTGGGTGGCCTGTGCATCAAGGTCGCTTTGACCATCGATGCTGAGTCTGTGTTTAAGTCCTTGTCCAGCAAAGACTTGAAGAAACCGGCTGATTGTACCCTTCTAGGACACATAAGTTGGATACGACAGATGATGGAGCGCGGAATCGCGCATAGCATTCAGTGGTGTGATACCCGCGATATGACTGCGGATGGAGACACAAAAGGGAGCATCGACAGAGAAATGCTCCTACAAGTCATCGGAGGTTACAGACCTTCAAACATGACCTGAAGAGACATACGCCATACCGGGCCAGCCAGGCATCAAGTTCTGACGCCGCCTGATGCGCATGCCCTACATTCGCGAGGCAACTCGCTGACGGGTCCAACTCCTTTGGGTCCGTCTCCTTTCCTGTCTTCGTATAGGTTAGCTGCTGACTTGCTCTCGCTCTATAGGTGGCGGACGGACGCTTCGTCTCCCTCCCCCCCGACTCTAAAGTGAGCTGGGGGACGTAAGGAGCGGAAGCGAGCGTGCGCCCGCGGCCGTCTTGGTTCAAGCGGCCGGCCGCCTAGATTTGACTGTACACTATCGCTATCGATACTAAAAGGCATCCCCTTTTACTTGACATGGTTTCCCCTCTTGCATTGGGACTATCGCTACTACGATACAACCGAGCTGGAGCTTGGCTTCGCCTGGGGCGAAGCTGCTGGCGGGGCCTCCCAGCCCCCTTCACATTCAGCCTGCTTCAGCTCGGGCATTCAAGATATGGCACAGGATTGGTGTTCTGGGAACACGAAGATCACGAAGTGGCCTACAGTTGGCTCTGGGCATTCAAAATGTGGCCTGGCAGTGGTGTTCTGGGAACACGAAGAACACGAAGTGAACACGAATATCACGAAGTGGCCCACAGCTGGCTCCGGGCAATACATATGGTATAGGAATGGTGTTCTGGGAACACGAAGAACACGAAGTGGCCTACAGTTGACTCCGGGCATTCAAAATGTGGCCTGGCAGTTGTGTTTTGGGAACACGAGGAACACGAAGTGGCCTACAGTTGGCTCTGGGCATTCAAAATGCGGCCTGGGAGTGGTGATCTGGGAACACGAAGAACACAAAGTGGCCTATAGTTGGCTCTGGGCATTCAAAATGTGGCCTGGCAGTGGAGTTCTGGGAATGAATTGGTAGGAATTTCTAAGAATGCCTACGGATTCCTAAGGAATCCTTGGGCTGACGGATCCGTCCGGTTCCTTGTCCGGATCGCGCCCAGACCCCCCTGGGGCGTCAAGATGCTCTCTTTTGAGACCACTAGAAACCGATGAGCAAAAACTGTTAGGTAGCAAGAAAGCAAAACTGCGGCCGCCGCTGGCGAGGACGTGCGCGCCCTGTCTCGGACGGCGGGCATCGAGCTCGTGGAGCTAGCGGGCACCGACCACTTCATGCGGGACCCACGTGGCGCCTGCGCGATCGACGCCCAGCAAGGGGGCGGGCGGCCCTCTCTCCTCGGTCAGTGGGTCGACCGCCTGACGTGCGGCGCCGGCGCCGCGGGCTGACGCGCCTGGGTGGGGAGCGCTGAGTGGGTTCGCCACCCTCGTCATCATCGCCCTGGCCGCCGCCGCCACCATCGCCATCACCTTTACCATCGCCATGGCCACCGTCGTCACCACCACCGGCATCACTACCGTTGTTACACTTGCCTTCGTCACCATCGCTACCCTGCTCGTCCTCACATCCACCGTCGCCATCAGCAAGCTCACCATCGTCGCCGTCTCCTCCCCCGTCGCCTTGCGAGAGCAGGGGCGGCGACATCGGGGGTGCGGCCCAGAGCTCGGCTGAAGAGCGGCGGCCGCTGAGGACTTCAAGACGGACCTCAAGTTTCAGTCCCAGGCGGTGCTAGCGCTGCAGGAGGCGGCGGAGGCGTACCTCGTCGGCCTCTTTGAGGCTGCTAGCCGCCACCGCGCCCGCCCCTCCCCTCGCCTGGACGTCGCCCCTCACCCTCCCCGTGCATTCCTCCTGCTTCCCCCCCTCGTGCCCCTCGTGTTTCCCTCCACGCTATGTCGCTGGGAGGAACATGGCGGGAGAGGGGCGAGCATGCATGCACACGGTGGGTTCGAGCCGCGTTGCCGCGGCGGCGTAGTCTCTCCCCCCGCAGGCTGCCCTCACTCTTGCGCGGCAGATGCATAGGATGATGCGGTCCTGTGAGCGAGGCCACCACAGTCGTTCTAGGCCAGGAGCCTCTGGAGGGGCCCCACTGCGGCATGTCTTGCACTGAGGACGAGTGGCGAGTGGCAAGCGTGCGCTTCCCTAGGGCGATCCGCTGGACGTCGCAGAGAGCCTAGCACGACTCTGCCTCATCCTTCGCTTCCCTCCCGTACCCATCATTTCTGTAGGCTGGAGGGGCGTGGCGGGAAAGGGGTGAGCATGCATACATGCGGTGGGCTCGAGCCACGTTGACGCGGCAGCAACCCCAGCGCGGGCGTTCAAGGTTGAAGCTTGGAACCTGACGATATCGAACAATCTGAACTATTTAAACGCCGCGCGGTGTCCGGCTGAACGACCCACGCGGCATCAGAAATCAACGTGTGTCCGCGCTTGCATGTTGCATCCCCTCCACGCGGGGAGGGAACTCCGCCACTTTTCGCGTGCTCCAGTGGCCAAAACAACACTCCTCCACCTACGAAGCCAGGGGCCTCAGATATCCAAGGCCAGGCGAGCAGCTTCAACCTCCGCCTCCGCCTACTCTCTCCGACATTGCGCCGGGGTAAACGCGCGGCACACGACGGAGAAACACGCGCCAGTGAAGGCGAACTGCATCGCTTTTCCTCTTCCTACTGCTCCTCCCAGGAGGAGGAGGAGGAGGAGGAGGAGGAGGAGGAGGAGGAGGAGGAGGATGAGGAGAAGGAGGAGGAGGGGGGGGGAGGAGGAGGGGGAGGAGGGGGAGGAGGAGAAGGAGGAGGTCTCTGGAGGTATACGCAGGTATCCAAATGTCTCCGAAGGTCCCCACAGGTTTCTGAGGTCCACGGAGGGCCCTGGAGAGGATTAGCAAGGACTCGCTGCTGGGCTCACGTAAGGGTTCCCATTGGCAAGACTCCTGGGCTGGGCTAAGCAAGTGGGGGAGCCCAAATCATGACCCGATGTTGGGGAGGGAACGGGCCCACAGGCCTGGCAAGGCAAGGAGTGGCGCAGGGGCCGGCCGCCGCTATGGTCAGATGTGCTACTGGCCCGATTGCTGGACACCCTTATACCCTTCCTCCTCACCCCATAGCCATTCTTAGCGATCCTGGATTCCGAAGGGAAGTGAACTTGCGGGGACAAAGGTTCATTGTGAACTGCGGGAAGCATGTAAGCAGACGGGGAGCTAGACGCGTCCTCCACGCGTGCGGGGGGCCATCCTGGTACACTTGACGTGCCACCAGGGGTGCATGTCGGGCTGTTGGGCCTGATTTGGACTGCCTTCTCGGGGTCTCTGGACCCCGTCGGGGCCTTGGGGTCTCTTTGTCTTTGTTTTTCCCTTTGCCATGTTTCTCTTTGTCTTTTCCTTCTCCTTGGTCCTTCCTTTTGCCTTTGCCGTCACCTTTCGACCATTTCTTGCCGCCCCTTGAATGGCTCTGGAGAGGAGGAAGAGGAGGAGTAGGAGGAGGAGGAGGAGGAGGAGAAGGAGGAGTGGAGGAGGAGAAGGAAGAGGAGGAGGACGAGGATAAGGCGAAAGGAGGAGCAGCAGCAGGAGCAGGAGCAGAAGCAGGAGCAGGAGGATGATGAGGAAGAGGAGAATGGGGGCGAGTGGGGGCAGGAGGAGGAGGACGACGACGCTGGCAGTGGCGGCGATGACGAAGACGCTTTTCCTCCACCCTCCTCATCTTCGTCCTCCCCGTCGTCCGCGTTCTCGTTCTCCTCGTTTTCCTCCCCTCGTCGTTCTCGTCCTCCTCATCACCATCCTTATCCTCCTCCTCCTCTTTTTCGTCCTCCTCCTCCTCCTCTTCCTCCTCCCCCTTCTCCTCCTCCTCCTCCTCCTCCTCCTTCTCCTCGTCCTCCTCCTCCTCCTCCTCCTCCTTCTCCTCCTCCCGGCACAGCATCATCCAGGAAGAATGCGCCTACCCGCATGAGAATAGCTGGAAAGTTCATCACGGTGGTGGCGGCTACGCCCGACCAACCAGACCAAAGAGGATAGTTGAACTCGCTCTACGCTTGGGGCAACTCGGGCGCTGGCGCTGGCGCTGACGACGACGACGACGACGACGACGACGACGGCGATGACGACGACGACGACGACGGCGACGACGGCAACGACAACGACGACAAGCACGACGACAAGCACGACGACGACGACGGCGACGACGACGACCACGACGACGACGACGACGACGACGAGCACGACCACGACGACGAGGACGACGACGAGGACGACGACGGCAACGACGGCGACGACGGCGACGACGACGATGACGGCGACGGCGACGACGACGACAACGACGACAACGGCGACGGCGACGACGACTTCGAGCACGACGACCACGACGGCGGCGACGACGACGACGAAAACGAAGACGATGACGACGACGGCAAAACACGACGACGATGACGACGACGACGACGACGGGGACGACAACGACGACGACGACGGCGACGACGACGGCGACGACGACGGCGACGACAACGACGATTTCGACGACGACGACGACGACGAAAGCGACGACGGCGAAATCGACGACGACGGCGATGACGACGAGCACGGCGACGACGACGAGCACGGCGACGACGACGACGACGCCGACGACGACGACGACGACGACGACAACGACGGGGACGACGACGGCGACGACGGCGATTCCGACGACGACGACGACGACAGCGACGACGGCGAAAACGACGACGACGGCGATGACGAGGAGCACGGCGACGACGACGAGCACGGCGACGACGACGACGACGGCGACGACGACTACGTCGACTACGTCGACGACGACTACGGCGAGGAGGGCGACGACGACGACGACGACAGCGATGACGACGGCGACGATGACGACGACGACGGCGACAACGACAGCAACAACAACAACAACAACAACAACAACAACGGTGACGACGACGACGGCGACGACGGCGATGACGACGTCGACGACGACCACGACGGCGACCACGACGACTTCGAGTATGACGACGGCTACGACGACGATGCCGACGATGAGGTCGATGACGACGACGACCACGACGGCGACCACGACGACTTCGAGCATGACGATGACGACGACGTCGGCGACGACGACGACGACGGCTACGGCGACGGGGACGGCGACGACAACGACGACGGAAAGCGCGGGAGGCACGCGACGCTGCGCAAAACAAATGTATACTTGAAGCCCGGGCCCGTCAATATTCAGGCATCCAGGGCCGAGGACAGAGGACTACGGGGGACCTTGTCGCTGTCGTCGTCGTTGTCTTCGTCCTAGTCATCGTCGTCGCGTCACCGACGTCGGCGCTGCCAGCCGCCGCAGCCGCCGGGGGGGGGGTCAGAGAGGGGGGGGAGGGGATTCCCCCTTGGTTCTGTTCGACGGCGCCGAATGTTCGGGGGTGGACCCCCCGCTGTTTCAGACGCGCCGCCGAATGTTCCCAAGGCGAACGCTTGTGAAACGCGTTTACTCCGACCGAGGATGGTGTTGTCACCGAGTGCATGCCGCACATGATGAAAGTCTTGGAAACCGCCACTTACTTTGAGCACCTGTGCGCGTTTGGTCCTGGCCGTTGCACAGATTGGGGCCTTGGCAGGATATTCGATGAACATTCCATTTTTTAAATAATGACAACGACAGTTTCAGAATTTACGGTGTTTCCTGCGAGCGCATGGCCCCCCACTTTCGAGCGCGAGATCGGCACAGCTTGGCACATGCAGAAGACGGAATCCAATCGCTGCGATATTGCACTGATATTGCTGCATAGCTTCACCGTCGGCCAAATCAGCGCCGCCCTCATCTCACTTCCAGGACAACTTGTTCCGGTCTGTCCTCCCGCACAAGCGCGCATATCGATTCCATCCGGAACATATAGCAGATTACGCTTCATGGACACGATGAAGACACGGCAGCGGCATTTTATGTTGCACACGTGCCGCACCACGCACAGTGCAATGCAACGATCCGCTTCTGACGAGCACAAGTTATTGCAATGAGCACAGAGTGGTATTGTCAGGAGGCTCATTTTGGGCAGGGCAGGCGGCGTCCAATTTCATCGTTTCGGTCGTCTGGGCTTCAACTTGTTTTTTGTGTACTGCGCGCTGTTCTTACGATTGTCGCGGTGCGAAGCCCACGTCTATTGATGGTCGGTTGGGCCATTTGGATATGCACACGCTGCGCAATTGTCTGTCCCCCGCCACCTGCTCCTCCTCGAACGTAGGCTATCGGGTAGCAGGCACTTAGAGTATGAAACATTGTTGCACGTTTGCGGGGGTATGGCAGGGTTCACAAGTGGCGTTGGGCTCAAGGTACCTTGCCGGGCCCGTTCTACATTATCTTCCGCTATGCCCGCTCTGCACCTGCTCGAAGAAAAGTACAGCTTTCTCCACGCCACTCCTACATATTATGCGGGGGCGGAGCACGCTGCTCCGCGGTCCGCAGCCGCCATGGCCCGCGCGGCAATGCATCGCGCTCCTGGCAGTCGTTCGACATCGACATCCACGTCGACCCGCTCCACAGCCCGCTTCACGTTCGCGCTGTGCTTCCACTTCGCCGCGGCAGGCGACGCGCCTCTAGGGGCCGCCGCGGCGCCCCCCGCCCAGTCGCCAAGACCAGCGGAGCAGGACACGCACGCTAATCTCTTCAACAACTACGACCTCATGGGCGGCGCCCCCAGCGCCCTCGTTCCAGCTCGGGCACTTTCGAATTGTGTTCGACATGCTCGGGGGGCGTTCGTAGTCACAGCACTCGCCTGCGAGCGCCGCCGTCAGCGTCAGTCCACACGGGGCGCGCCCGCGCGCGATCAGGGCCAGAGTGCCTATAGCACTGGAGCCGGATTGAGCCAGGATGGCACGGGCCTTTCAGCTCTTGGAGCGGCACCGAGTCCGCTGGCAGCTCCAGCCGCCGCCAGCGCCGACGCATCAGCAGCGCCGCAGGTGGCATATCCAGCAGCAGGGTTCGACTCCGGCACCATCAGCTCATTCGGCCAAGAAGCCGCCGCCGATGACCCCGAATAGCGCGAAGTTCCTGCGGGGCAGCGCGGCGCGCACTTCTTTTAGGCGCACGAGCGCGCCAAGTCCCTACGGCGCCGCTCCAATAGGAACAAGCCCATGCACCGCGCGCGGGGGGGTCATCAGACGCAGGGGCGAAGGCCATGGGAAGGGCTACCGCGCCTTCCTGGCCGACTGACGACATCGGTGGAACTTTCGCCGGCTTCGGGAATGGCAGGGACAAGGTAAAGGGTAGCAGTGGATTGGGTTTCGGCCGACAAGGCAGCCCATGGGGCCCAGGCGGGGCGCGTCTCAAGTGCCGCGAGTGCGACTCGGACGAGCACCTCGCGCGCGATTGCCCCCGTCGGCGCCAACAAGGTCGCGCTCTCTTCCTCGGCGCCCCAGCCTCCGCAGCACCAAACCAGCATCCACGCCTCGCGCGCACTTGGGGAACCGCGGAGTGCCTGGGCCAGCCGCTCAACAAGCAACATCAGGTGCCTATTCTGTCTGGGTGAGAGCCGATCCCTGGAACGGCGGCCAATCGACTCCATATTTGGCAGCTACGCAACCAGCGCCAGCAGCCGCAGCCCCCAGCGTTTTGTTCGACGGCCCCTGACAGGCCGCTGGCCAGAGCAATTGGTCAAGCTGGGCGGGTACTTCATCGTCTTAATTGGCTTCGCCCAACCCTCATGAGGCCGAACTTCGGTGACTGCGCCAGGAGATGGACGACCTCCACCGTGCTATCTACCTCACCTGCCGGTGTGCGGTAGTTGCCGAGTTGGGCTTGCCTGCCTTCAGCATCAGCACTTGGCATCAGCGCATCGTATGGATCGAGCTCCACGTGGCCACCGCAGTCCGCACTGGTAGCTGCGCCACCACCCGCGCCAGAGTCTCCTAACGATCTGGTTATTCTTTTAGCACGTCCCCGCTGATGTGGGCCAGCCATCTGAGAGACTGGCCACGTGGCTCGCTGGCCGCGACGCTTAGGCGCCCAGCGGCGCGCGATCCGAATGCGGACTAGGCTCCACGCTTGACCTCGCACAACGACGACGCCTCGACGGTTTCCATAGCACCCAACTTGCCCTTGAGATCTTACGACAAGAGGGCGAGCAGCGACGGCGAGCCGCACAGAGTTGGAACGAAACCTCTCCTAAACCACTTCCTGCGCTGGCTGCCGCGTCAGCTGCGCCGGGCATCGCGGTCATCAACGGCGACGACCTGGAATGTCCTACCTGCGTCGAGGCCATCGCACATGGTAACCGAGTTGCACGCCTACAGTGCCGCCGCATTTTGCATCGGGCATGCCGCCTGCAGCTCATGCAGAACACCGACACCCACCTGGTGCACTGCCTGGCGCGCCGCGGCCCGCCTGACGTCATCGCCGAGTTCCGCTTCATCGGGTTCAGCAACTGCGTCGCCGACCCGCGCAGCAGACCCTGGCCCGCCGAGCCCGGCACCCGCGGTGCCGGCCCGGCCGACGCCAGACAACGGCGCGCCTGAGGAGATATCACCACAGCAGGACTCCGCCCAGAATCCGCGGCCCGCACTGACACCCAAGGCGCTGCGGCAGGATTTCACGCAGTCCCATGGCAGTGCTTCCAGTTTTGCGCCCGCTGCCGACACGGCAGCGCCGCGCGATGCCACCTGGGCTTGCATACTTCGCTGGGCCGACCGACGTTCCCGCGGTGGCCTACCTAGGCAGGTGCAGACCCGAGCCCGCCAGCCGATTCACAATACTACCTGGCGAGCACCGACCTCCCAAGCATCCGGCTTGGTGTCACTGCGGATACCAGCGCTTGGACAAGCCTCTGGGGGCAAGGTTTCGCCATGAACCTGGCGGACAAAGCCATGAAGATCTGGCCTCAGCCCGCAGAGGAGAGGCTGACGTCCCCAGTCGACATAGCAGGAGTGGGCAACGGCTCACAGGTTGCCCATTGGGAGGCACGCTGCCCCATCGCGGTCACCACTTCAAGCGGCCGCTTGCGCATGCCAGTCGACAACTTCGACCGACTCCAAACACCGACCGGGAGACTTCCACCTAAACAGCTCACACGACTGGCAGCGGGCAGCAGCAGCCAGGACTTCGACTCCAACGACAGCCAGGAGTTCAAGAAGCTCAAGGTACAGCTTCTCAGCCCCAACGCACGAGCACCATAGCGGGGCGCACCTCAGGCAGCAGGCTGCGACCGATTTGCCTGCGGCGTTGCCAGCATCGTCGGGATCTGCGGTCGCGAAGTGGCGTCTACGGGCGCGGCCGCTCTTGCACCGCTGGGCACCTACCTGCGGATCGCCCCGCAGTCAGGATTAGCGATCAAGGGCATCGACGTCGCGGGCGGAGCGGTGAGCCCCGATTACCGCGGCGAGATCAGGGCGATCACGCGCAACGCCAGCCCGCGGACGTTCGTGGTCGAGCAGGGCCAGAGGTTCGCCTGATTCATCCTTGAACGCATCGCTCCGACATCGTGGTCGTTACCAAGCTTCCTCCATATTCCAGCGGCTCTTGGGGCTTCGGTCACACTGGCGCGACGCGCCTTAGCCGCGACCCCATCCCGCAAAAATCAGGCACCGCATTGCCGACAGGGTCTGAGGGTATGATCGCTTTTCAAACTTAATTGATCCGTGCTTATGGGGTGTCTTGGGGGCCGGGCCGGGGGGTGGCATGATACCTCCTCTCTTCTTCGACGGCGCTCAAGCCTTTGGTGTTCAGGCCGCTCGCGGGGCGGGCTGCAGCCAGCCCGCACCTGTGCGCGCTGCTACCCCGCGAGCGGCTGCTCGCGCAAGGCTCGCGCACCACTTTGCGCCGGGCCCTTGCCATAGGGCTCGCCTGCTCTTTCCTGGGCGACACAGGGCTGCTTGAGTGGGCCCTTGAGTGGCCGATCGCGCCCGCCAACGAGAGCGACCCTCTTTCGCGCTACGAGCGCATCTCCCCGAGGCTCATCTTCTCAGGGTACGTTGGCCTGTCTATGAGCTCGGTGCACAGATGGAGTCGGATGCACCGCAACGCGGGCGGAGGCCAGGGCGAAGTCGCCCTGATGTTGATGAGGGTCTACCAGAAGAAGATAGGCGACATGAGGTGGATCTACGTTCGGCCAGACCGACGCATGGGCTCCGTCGACATCAAGGATCGGTCAAGGATCACCGCCAAGCGACAGCCGAACACCACCTACGCCCACTTCCCCGCCCTGTCCTCCGAGGAGGAGACGGCGGCGATCGAGGCAGGCACCGAGAAGCAGCTAAGTTTGGAATTTGGTGCTGTACGCTGGCGCTCATGGGGTTCTATGTTGGGATGGGCCCGCAGTTCTGCGGTCGCTATGTGGGCGACGTCATCGTGAGGCACCAGCGGAGGCCTCATCTTTTTCGCCTGGAGGGCCGCGCCTGGGACTGGGCCAAGTGGACGGTGGGGAAGCTAGACGGCACGCGCGCGTTCTTGATGGACCTGGACGACTTCAGGGCCTACCTGTACGACCTCTACCTGGACGGTCGCCTGGAGTTGCCGATGCTGCTCCTCTCCTTCATGATGGATGATGGCCTCCACCCCCGCATGCTGGAGTTTGTGCTGCCGCCGTGGCCTGCCACGGCTTGGCGGCGCTGGCCCTCCAGGGAGCGATGTGGACAGCGACGCGGAGGTTGGGCATTCGGTCCACGAGTCGGATTCGGAGTCGGAGGGGAGCAAGGAAGTGGCGGAGATGAGGAAGATGATGCAGGACCCAATGGAGGAGATGCACCGGGATCGTCGCGACCGCCGTCGTGCGGAGGCGGAGACCGAGGGAAGCTCAGCTAGGGGTGGCGGGAACAGCCCTCGCCGCTCGGATGGGTCGTCGGCTTGGAGTCCTGGGTCGAGCGCAGTCAGCTGGGAACGCGTCCCCACGCCTGCCGACATGGGCATGCACGTCGACCGCATGAAACCAGTTCGAGAAGACCATCCGGGCGGACCGAGCGCCAGGAGCCCGCCGTGCAGTTGCAGACCAGGCGTCGACGGCAGCGACGGCGTGCGCGACAGCACCCCTCACCATCAACCTGGACGAGGTCGCGATGGAGGAGGTCGGGGTGAACACCGGGCCGCTGCGCGAGTCGTTGACGGACCCGCGGGCTCGCCTGATGGAGAACCTGGCGAAGCTGAAGTCGGCCCCAACGTTCGAGCTGCCCCCAGGGCTGACGGCCCGCGCCGCCCCCAACCTCTTGGTGCAGACCTACGGCAAGTACGGCAGCATGGGCAAGTTCGCGACGGACTGGGTCAAGCAGAAGGAGCTCTACAATAATCACATCGGCCACGAGATGCTCTTGCATTGCATGACCCTGGATCGCACGTTGGAGGCTTCTCTCGCTTTCATCACGACGGCTGGCTGCGAGATCCTGCGTTCGAGGGTCTACGCGCTGACACGGGCGTTCAAGGATGTGCATGAGATGTCAGACTGGGCGCAGCCCCGCGGCGCATCTGCCAACAAGTGGAAGTCGAGGGCGCACTGGGACATGGCGAACGAGCTGGACTGGCGCTCAGTGATGGATGGGGAGGAGTCTCTGCCGAGCGTCGAGAAGGACCTCACTGCGCGGCTGCAGCAGAAGGCGCTGTTCCAGAAGTACCTGCACAAGGCGGGCTCCGAGGGCGCCAAGAAGCAGGATGACTAATGGCTTTCTACGTGGACATGTTCGCCGAGGCCGAGCTCCCTTGGCGCTGGGCGCGGGTGCTGGCGCTTCGGCGCTCCGTCTGCCTCGACAGCGGCTGCATACGCAGGCAAAACCCACGGTCTGCGATCTTGGCGGAGTGGCTTGGTACCTTGGCCTCTTCGAGCTGCTGGCGCCTCGCCGACCTTGTGGCGTCTGATCCTTACATCTTTCTCTTCAGCTACACTATCCGGGCCATGACGACGTCTGGCGCAGCTCCGCCACCAGAGGCTCGACCTCGCGACCGCGATCTTCTTCCGGACGCGGTGGCCAGCCGCATGGAGTCCGCCCCTCATTGCACCATCAAGAAGGAGAGGTCCCTGACCAACGGGCTCATTCGTGTCCTGCACTCCCTCTCGCGGGGGGTGGTGGGATCGGTGGCTGGGTTGGGGCCTGCGGCTCCGCGGGAGCGATCGACCTCGGTCCAGAAGAGGACGGCCTTGGAGCTTCTGGATTCGTGGGCCTCCTGGCAGGGCCACATCTACGACGTCGACGTGGACCTGGACGGCGCCGTCGAGCGCGTCCTCGCTGGCCGGGCCTCGCCGGGCGAGGGCGAGGGGGTCACCGAGTCCCTGGGCGTGGATTCGAAGGGTCGCCGCGTGCTGCCCAAGGGTGCGATGTGCTCAGTCGACGTGGACGAGCTGGCGCTGCCTGCGCCTGGGATCGCCCCCGTCAAGCTTGTCGATATATGTCCCCTCGCTGTCGAGTATTTCTCGGACATGGAGGGCCGCGTGCTGAGGCGACCAGATTCTGTTATGATGCGAGAGTTGGGGAGCCAGATGGTCTGCCGGGACCCGCGCTGAAGTCTCGCGGGGCTCGCTCGCGCCTGGCGGAGCGACGCTGGAGAGTCGGCATGCTGACCTTCACCAAGGAGAAGAAGGAGTCGGTGTCGCTTCTCGGGTCATCAGGAAGTACGTGGAGGCGGAGGTGGACGGGGACCTGGTCCTGCAGCGGCATGTGCGCACGATCTGGGACGAGCGGCGGGTCAACCTCCGTTGGGAGCGGCTGCCCTACGCGCCGCTCGGCAACCCCGCCTCATTCACGAACCTGGACCTCTCCAACATCGAGGAGGAGGGGCTCGTCTACTCCGCGGTCGGCGACAGACCCGGCATGTTCTGCAGGTTGGAGACGCCCCCGCAGTGCTGGCCCTACTTCTGCTTGGACGAGGTTGGCATGGACGGACGAGTTCGTGCTGCGCGTGGCCGAGCGAGCGGTCGACGTCGAGGCGCCCGCCGATTCGTGCTACCTGGCCCTGAAGGCGCTCGTCATAGGGTGGTCGTGGGCGCCGTTCCTGGCGCACTCCGCCCTGCAGGCGCGCATGGAGACGGCCCTCGGCGAGGGCTCGGTTTGCGCTCGTCTAGTGTACGGGTCCCCGACGCCTCAGCTCCACGGCGATGCCGGTGGCTGCGAGGCGCTCAACTGGGCCTACATGGACGACTACGGCGTGATGGCGAGCAGCACGAGCGCGAAGGGTCGCGAGAAGGAGCTGGTCTCGAGCATGGCGGCGAAGGCAAAGTCGCAGTTGGAGTCCGCGGGCCTCGTGGTCCACAAGGAGGAGGAGGGCGAGGGGCTCGAATTTCTGGGAGCTGTCTTGAGGGACCGTCCCTATGTGATTGGCTCGTGCCCGTTGAAGACATGTCGTCTGGCCCTCGTGACCCTAGCCTTGGTGGAGAGACCCTGCTGGACGGCGACCATGTTGGAGCGCCTCGTCGGGCTTTGGGCTTGGGCGGCGGTGTTCCAGCGAACGAGCCTCGCCATCTTCGACCAGGTTTACCACGAAATGCGACGCCGTTCGAGCCCAACCGCTGCCTTCCGCCTGTCCGCGGGGGCGCGGGCCGAGCTCGCCGCCGCCGCCTACTGCCCCCCGGGCCCGCCAGGCCTTCATGAACCGACTCCAGCGACGCGGGCCACGGAGTTGCCGTTCATCAGACTACGGTGGAGGAGATTCGCGCGGAGCCCAGATACTGCGAGCTGCGAGGCTGGACCATCGCCGCCGAGGACCTCCACGCCAACGCCGAGGAGGACGCCTGGCAGGAGGGCTGCGGCGGCTACGCCCACGACGCCGACGAGCTGAGCTGGCGCAGGCCGCGGCCCCAGTCGTGCGTGGCCCGATCGTGCGCGCGTTCCGCTTCCTCTACCTGTTCGCGGGAGTTCGGCGGTCAGGAGACCTCGAGGAGCACCTGCGGCGGCGCGCGGAGAGCGCTGGCGTCCTCGTCGAGGTCTGGCCCCTGGATGCAGTCATCGACCCGAAGCACGACCTCACCGACCCCGACTTTCTGAACGTCATCGCGAGGCTCGTCGACAAGGGCTACTTCCATGGGGTGCTGGTGTCACCCCCGTGCTCGACCTGGAGCCGCGCCCGCTTTCGAGGTCATGGGCCCCGCCCTCTGCGCGCGCGTGCGGAGCCGTGGGGGCGCACCGACATTGGGTTGACCTCGTGGGAGCTACGGCGGCTCGAGCTGGGCACCAAGTCGCTCATGACGGCGCCGACGGTGATCCGCGCGGTCTGCACGGCTGGCGGGGCCGGCCAGTCGGAGCACCCGTCCGACCCAGGGGGGCCGCCCTATCCGTCGATCTGGGACCCCGCGGAGCTGAAGGACCTCGTCAAGGTCTTCGGAGGATGGGCCAACTACTTAGACCAGCGCCGCTACGGTGCCCCTTCCATGAAGCCGACCATGGTCAGCATCTTCGGCACGTTCGACAGGAGCGACGGGGGCGCCGCCGCTCGGCTCTGCCTCACCTGCATCCACGAGGGATGCCATCGGGCTACGCCCGAAGGCCGAGAGCCAGGAGGTCCAACCTTTCGCACCGCTGCTGCGCAGGCCTACCAGCCCGAGTTTTGCGACGCCCTCAGCGAGGTCATCATCGAGGCAATCGTGCACATGAGGGCGAGGAGGCTCGGGCCCGACGTCGAGGGTTCACTGCGGTCGCCTGCGTCGGCGACGCCGAGGCCATCGCGACCTGGGAGATCGAAGGAGGAGGTACGACGAGGAGATCGGGTCCGAGCGCCCCCGCTGTCCCACACATGGCTTCCGCTGACGAGATGGAGACCCCTCTACCTCGGCAAGTGGCGCGAGACCGAGCACGCCAACATCAACGAGACGCGCGCCGTCGTGGGCCTCCTGAGACACCTGGCCAGGTCCTCGACGTCGCGGGGGCTTCGCGTCCTCATCCTGACCGACAGCACGGCGGCCTTGGGCGCGCTGGGGAAGGGCCGATCGAGCGCCCCAGCGCTGCTGCGCCTCTGCCGCGAGGCGGCGGCCATCACCCTGGCGTCCCGCATCTACGGCTCCTACCACTACTTGCCGTCCGAGGTAAACGCGGCGGATGGCCTGTCCCGGGGAGGCTTCCTAGGTGCGGCGCCCGAGACCGTGCGAGCGCACAGCGACCGCGCGACACCAGCTGCTCCTCCCGCGTCAGGAGAGGTGCCGCTGGGACACGAGCTGCGCGCCCTCGGTCAGGCTTGCGCAGGATATTCTGGTGGCTGACGCTGACCATCATCGACCTGGTTGGGCGCGCGTCAGCTGGCCGCGAGCCTCTGCAGCCCACGGGCACGACCCCGATTACCAAGAAGGGGCCCCTTGGCATGGGACAACTACGCGACGGACCCGAACGCTGGCTTGCTGGACGGTTGCTTCACGCGCTTGCTCACGCACTCGGTGGCCGACGCCACCGCCGCCCAGTGGGCCCCCAAGGTGCGGCAGTTCTTCAACTTCTGCATCCAGCGGGGCTGGCAGCTCACATCTGAGTCAGAGGTCGATCGTGTGCTGGCGGACTACATGGACATCCAGTGCTACGGCGAGCGTAAGAGAGCGACCCTCGACTCGGTGGCCCTGTTTGGCACGTTGGCGATCTGGCCGGAGCCTCGCAACAAGTCGCCCCTCGCCCTGAGGAGCCCGCCCTGAGGAGCCTCAAGATTTGGCAGAAGCTGGCTGGCACGAGCGAAGGGGGGCCACTCCCAGAGGAGGCCATCTACGCGATCGCCATCTACATGATCGAGCAGGGGCACTACGTGGCGGCCGTCTGGACGCTTACGCAGTACGACGTCTACGGCCGAGAGCAGGACATGGAGATGCTGAAGGTCGCGGGCGTCGTGTGGGACTGCCAGCGCATGGCCCTGGCCCGCGGCGTCTCGCGCCGCGGGGAGGAGGTCAAGACCGGCACCGGCCAGGGCGCCGTCGCGCGGCGGAGCGCGGTCGCCAACCTGGTCCTGGGCCTGCGCGACTTCAGGGCGAGCAGGGGCGAGAAGCTCTTCGGCATCGACCAGATCCGCTTCCGGAAGCTCTGGCACCAGGCCGGCCACGCGCTGGGCATGCCGCGGGCGCCCCCTCCACATGGGATCCGCCACTCGGGCCCCAGCGAGGACATCGCCCGAGGCCGCGCGTCGCTCGAGCAGGTCAGGCGCCGTGGGAGGTGTGGAAGGCCCTGTCCAGTGTTCAGCGCTACTCCAAGACGTTCGCCCTGAGGCAGTTCCGCGCGAGGATGCCAGAGGTGGCCCGGGAGTCGGGCATGCGCGCGGGGCGGGACCTGAAGGCGGAGATCCTGCGAGCCCTGCGGCTGCGTCCCCGCCCGCGCGGCAGCCTCCCCGAGGCACTCGAGAACGCTATCAGGAAGGGCCTCGCCGAAGACGTCGCCGCCGAGCAGATGAAGATCAAGAGTTCAAAGGCGCGCAGTTCCAAGAAGGCCAACCAGACTGGCGATGACGACCAAGACAACCCAGGAGGCCCGTTCTCGGATGAGACGTTCGGGGAGGACACGGGCTGGTGGACTGAGTGTTGGCGGCGCCCTTAGGGGCGGCTGGGGGGCCATGCGAGGGCGCCCAAGAGACGGCGGCTTACGGGCGCGATCGTCACCCCTTGGTTATGTGTTCAGGCGTGGCGTCGGCGATAGCAGCAGCGTGTCCTGGGCGTTTTTTTTCTGCCGCTGCGCTGGCCGCCACGACAGATTCAAAGCCTCCCAGCGTCGGGGGCGCAAGTGGTGTTTGAGGGCAGGTTTTTGCTGATATTTGGGCCACGTGGTGTGGACATTTTCTTTCAGGTCGTCGAGGCCCCCCGCCGCGCCCAGCCCTGCTGCGACAACGACGGCGTTGCCAGGCACAGGATGCGGGCATTGGAAGCTCGCGCTCGCGATTCGTGCTCGTGAGCCGCGTGATGTACGGGTTTGCGATCGCCTGCTTCGTATATCCAGATTTTCCTGGCCCATATGGGCATTCGTTGTGCTGCTGGAGAATGATGGCGTGAACATCGGCGTTAGATTCCAGGTGCTTTGTCTAAGTCTCTCAGCTCTCGCTGGCCCCCGCCCTCCCGTTGAGCTTGTAGGATAATGATCGCTTGTCAAACTTAATTGCTCCGTGCTCGTGGGGTATCTTGGCGGCCGAGTCGGGGGTAGGCGCGATGCCTCCTCTCTTCCTCGACGGGGCGCTCATGCCTTCACGCCACGACCCGCTCATTTTCACGAGCCCCCGTCACAGTCAGAGTTTAAAATGCAGTTCGCGCCCGCAGAGCTCGGACTCAAAGGAAGCTCGCGCTCGCGGCTCGTGCTCGTGAGCCGCGCGATGCACGAGTTTGCGATCGCCTGTTTCGTATATCAAGATTTTCCTGGCCCATCTGGGCCCTCGTTGCGCTGCTGGAGAATGAAGGCGTGAACATCGGTGTTAGATTCCAGGTGCTTTGTTTCAGTTAGTCTCTCAGCTCTGGCTGGAGCTTGCAGGATAGACCATGTCACCGAAGACCTTGCGCAGCCGCTACACTAGGAGGGGCACGGGTCAGCCCGCAAGGCTGGCCCAGCCGACCTGCCCCGACACGGGCGGGCAGCAGGGCCAGGGCGTTTCGCTTGGGTCTTGGAGAGAGGACGGGGCACCTCACTAGCGCAGCAAGAGCACGGCTTCGACGTCGTTCGCACCACCAACTTCGAGAACGCCGTCGCGGCGCTAGCCGATCGTACATTTCCCAGGTCCGCCCGCGGCATTGCATGGATCACGTGCGATACGGACGGGGCCGAGACTCATCTCGAATTCGACTTCAATTCCCGACTGGCGCCCACGAGCCACGGACTCTGGCGCCAGAATTGAGATTTCAGCCGCCGGGGCCAGCTATGGAAACGACCGCCAGCGGGACAGAAGATCGACACACACGCGCGCTCCACCTGGCGCAGCACAGGGCGCGCCACAAGCCCGTGGTTCCAGGTGCCAGACATAGCAGCGCAGCCTTCGTGGCGCTTACCGGAGCGCTCATGTGCAACCAGCGGTGCAGGTGCAACATCGAGCCTGAGGAGCACCAGAACGACTGGACTATCATCAACCGAAAGCTGCACACAAACCTGATGCGCCGTGAGGTCTTACGCCGCGCGCCCCGCTGCAGTTGCACTTCTAGCACTGGTGCATCATGGACGAAGCACCCTCAGCGAGACGCGACGGCAGCTTGCGCGCCTGTCTCGAACGCCTCTTCCGGGCTCATGGATACGCGCCGCCGCGACACCGAGCAGCGCGTCCAGCGCCGCCGCGCCAAGCACCGCACCCAAGACCACAAGCACGGACGATCACCGAAATGCCATTTAAGATTGGCTTCGCGGGCTTTTCCTACAGACGAAGAACAACAGGCGTCCGACGCAGCAGAACGCACGCGCCAGAAAGCGAGGATAAAGGAGGGCCGCGTGCCCACTGCACACGCGCAGGTCTTAGAAGACCCACTTCGACGACTGCGGAACCGATCTTGCTGGTCTGGCCCCATATCTTCAGGGTTTCCCAGCCATTGGCGAGCGGGGCCACGCCGACGAGTGCGACGACGACGACTTCCACGGCGGCCTGACCTCAGGCCTGCCCGCGCGGTGGTTTCAGGGGTCGTCGGCCCCAGCATCGGATCGCCATATGGCGAGTGCTTTACTTATCATGGAGGTATGCAGTGGGGAGGCGCCGACCAGCCAACTCGCTGTCCGCCGCCGCTTCATGGTGGGAGCCGGCTTCGACTTGGTCACAGGTTGCGACCTAACGACGAAAGCCAGCAGAAGAGCCGCGGAGCGATACATCCGGCAACACCGTCCCCTAGTGGCCGTCATGCCTCCCGCTTGCCGGCCTTTCGGTCGTTAGGTTGCCTTCATTTACAAGTGCAATTACCGCACTTGGCTACGATCCTACGAGGACCAGCACCTCATTGGCGATTGCGCGGCTACGTGGCACAGCTGCAGCTACAGCTTGACGGCAACTTCGTCAGCAAGCAGCCCGACCCATCGTGGTTTCAAACCGAGCCGCCCCAGCCAGAAGTCTTATCAGCATCGGGCGTACATAAGGTCATTATCGACCAGTGCCAACTGCGACTTCGTGATCGTCGCGGGAGTATTTTGAGAAAGATCATCGGCCTTGTCTCCAGCGCCCCGGAGATCCTCGAGCAGTTCGCGAACTTCAAGTGCAACGACAAGCGCGCACACGTGCACGTCGAGGGCCACAATAGCACCGACGCCCAGGTCTGGCCATGGAAGGTGGCCGAACGGCTTGTCCAGGGCATCGCTGACCTACGCCGACGCTTGAGGTGACTGCCTGTGGCGCACTATGTTCGCGCATATAATACCGATGCGGCAGCCCACGCAGCAGTGGGCTCAGGGGCCACAGAGGGCGAAATCAGGAGTGCCATGGCAGTTGGGCGCGCACGCCATTCGCGCAAGGCGTGTCGACGCAACATGCGATCATATTCCTCCCATGCACTCCCGAGATCCAGCCACCTGCCAGTGCCCTCACAGCGCCCCAACCAAGTGGGAATGCCCTGGCTGCCGCGAGGAAAGAGAGCGTGACCATACAGCGCGCGCCAACGAGTTCAGCAAGCGCAGGCTCGTGGATCTTCATGCGCGGCCGCGTCCACGTTCTGGCCAACATCCACGAGCACCGGCGCGACCTGGAGGACCACGCCCAACCAGTGATCAACAGGCTGCACTACCTGGAGGAGCCGACCGGAGCAGCGCGCGAGGCAGCACGATTACCGGCACGATCCAGCAGACCAGTATCCAGTTCATCCTCCAGCGCTGGAGCCCAGGGCAGTGGATCTGGCAATTGTTTTGCCAGTCCACGACTGCGAGCCAGCGTGGCAAACGACGCGGCGCCGACGATGCTGCCGGCAACCCAACTCCTGCGAGCTGGACTCGCCTTGACATCGCCGCGTCACAACGGGCACTACGCGGCGACTCGCACGAGACACGAATGCGAGAGCCACGCAAGCTACATCTCCGGTGGTGGCACGCCACTATGGACGAGATGGCACAAGCACTGCGTGCAGCAAATATGCCACAGGCAATCCTTGACCTCATCCCCACAGTGGTCAACAGCTGTCGGCAATGCCGCAAGCGGCTACCACCAGCGCGCCGAACCATTCCCACATTGCGCTTTTCGACACCATTCTACCAGCACGGTGAAGCCGACATCTTTTTTTTACAAGGATCGCATGATACTGCATCTGATCTGCCGTGCCTCAAGGTGGCACAACGGCCGGGGGACCACGGACAGATGCGACTCGACGTTGTTGGCAGCAGTTGACAGGTCATGGACCCAGCTATTTGGGCCAACGGAGACCTTCATCGTGGACGGCGAAGGCGGGGTGACCTCCAAGTACTTCGCGGAGGAAATGAGGAGGAGGGGAGGGCCAGGTGGACATCCATGCTCCACGCCAGCGCGCTTTCATCGAGCGACGCGGTGCGATGCCGCGACGCGCGCTACGCGCCACCGAGGAGCAGCTGGAGCGCGAAGGCACCAGCGCCAACTTCGACTCCATGCTGGCCCGCGGGCAACAAGCCCACCCACGCGGGCGTCGCCACGCCGCGCAACGTCGTCTGCGGCAGGAGCCCTCCGCGCTGCCACCGCCCGAAGCAGACCAGGAGGGCGAGGGCGACTATGTCGCCGGAGCTGGCCCCGCTGCCGGCGGCGAGGTGCAACCCAGCCGAGTGAGGTGGCGCATCCGCGATATCGCCCTGCAGCGCATGTTCGAGGCCACCTCGATCGCCCGCGTCAAGCGCACCCTTCAGATGCGCCCCGCAGAGACCGAAGAGGGATGTCTCGACGTGGGTGACCAGGTGGAGATCCAACGGCCTCCCAGCACGAAGGACGCGCCAGGCTGGGCAGGTCCCCGCGCTACCCTTTCCGTGGACCTGGCCAGTGGCAGAGGTGCGGCCCATTACCGCAGCGCCGAGATGGTCTGCAGTTTGCAGGACGCACGTGCCCTCATCTACGCCATCTGCAACGACGCGGGCATCGGCATGGCGCGAGCAGGCCCGGCCGGGGATCGCGCGGAGGACTTCCAGAGCACATCGCGCCAGGTTCAGAAGCCAGGACCTTCGGCCACTGGGGAAGCGAGCAGGGCAAGCAGCTGACCGAGCAGGCTCGGCAACGCCCTGATGTCCTCGACGCTCTGCGCCACTTGTCCCGCCGATGTCTCCAGCTACCTGACGTTCGCGCCGCGGGTCTCCTACGCGGTCAGACATCTGTGGGCGACTGACCGGGCTGCAACCGCAGTCTGGTCATCTGGCGGCTCCGTCGGGGCCCGAGCGACGCCCGCCGGCTGCACTTGGATTGCGTCAAGTTCGACGCCCACAGCCTCATAGGCGAGTAGTGGACGGACGATCGCATTGTCCAGTTTGTCCTGAGTGACGAACAGCTACTGGCAGCCGACTCTGGGCAGGGCCAGGACGGGGCGGTCGACGGCTGCGTTATCGACGTTCACGTGTGCGCCGCCAGCGTCACCGAAGGCGGCCCACCATCAGCCCAATCGGTGATGCCCGACGAGGCCGACAGCGACTTCTCGGGCCACATCCAA